TTATTATTATTATTATTGTTATTATTATTAGTATTATTATTATTATTATTATTATTATTATTATTATTATTATTATTATTATTATTATTATTATTATTATTATTAAAATTGCAGTGATAATCAAATTGTCGTTGTAGTTAGGTCGCTTAATAACGTTAGCGTATTGTTTTGTGATTGTATTTGGTGCTTTCGGTAATATGCTAACAATACTGGCTGTTATTCGAAACGTACAAATGCGTACAACGAGGAATTTTTTCATTTTGAATTTGGCACTATCCGATTTTTTTATGTGCACTGTAACGGCACCGATCACGCTTTATACAGTTAGTTTTCGATTGGTTGGTATTTTGGGTCTGTTTAATGTTCAATTCAATCTTAATTTTATTGCTGATAACATTAAGTTTGCTTATGTAATTATGCCATTTTCATTCAAATTCATTTTGTTTGTGTAATATTCCAGAAAATTTAAACGAATTATTGATAAGCAGCTTTTTAAGTTGCACTATAACACCATCTCAAAATTCACATTCTTTCATATGAACACGATCGGTATCAATGGCAGTTGTTGTAATGCGTATACGATAGGATGATTAATATTGAACAAGGAGATTGTCCGATTAAAGTTTCGATCTATAGACATGCATGATCAAATGAGCAGAGGCATCTTCATGTTGGAATTGCCAAATGAGTCGTTCAGCTAAAAAGTAATCAATGAAAAAATAGCTAAAAAAATGATTAGTGAAATCTGTCAAAAGGATAACGCACGTTGATATTTCGCCGCTACGTTCAGACTTTGGGGAGAGCTTTTACGATAAGGTGGTTGATACTATAGTACAGGTATTCAACAATTTACGAGAACAGTTGGGAGTGAGATGTTCATTGTAAATTAGATGTGTTCCTAAGCTGATTACAGTTATATTCATACATCTACGTTGAGCTTAAAAAATGTTTAGCAATGGTTTTGTTTATCAATAATATTTTTTGCATACACTTCCGACAATTTCAATTATAATTGCATAACATATGAACAAGATAAGTGGACATCTAGCGTATGTGCGTTAACGTGATAAATGAAATGCAGTGTACTGATCAGTTTTGAAACTTGACAGATCACAAACGATGTGTTAAAAGTATAGAGAAATGCATTACGAATCTGTAAACATAAGTATTGTACGTCAAGGTACTGAATTTGAAACTGTGAATAATCGTATACATGTGGATTAATGGTGTTTCTATTCCAGTCGAACCATTCTACTTCAATTTTTTTTCCAAGTAATAGAACAGAACGATCCCAAAAACAACACGCATGAAAAAACAGTTAAAGAGCGAACAGAGTAATTTGAAATTTTGGGATGCGGAACAGAACAGAACAGATTTCAAAAAGAAGAATGGAGAGCAGGAAGGAACATAACACTTCAAAGGGTGGAACGAATAAAATAGGAACGGTTTGTCGAAAATGTTGATTAGAAGTATCAATATCCGGGGACTTCCGTTTTCCCCCAATCATCACCGCCAAAAGCTGTCAACTCCCTGCACAAGCAATCTTCTCTTACCCCAATTCTTCTTCGTTTAGCACTATTTTCACCAAAAAAAACCATCTTTCTAATCCCAGTTATCATAATTTTTATTGTGCTATTTTTCTGACTGAACTAACAGGAATAGCACAGAACAGAACAGTTTGAACGGCAGGACAGAACAGAACATTGTTGAAATTAACGGTGCGGAAACAGAACATAACGTCTTTGCAAATATGAGGGTGGAGAATGGAACAGAACAGCTGAACGACGGAACGTAACAGTTCCAAAGAATAAAACAGAACGGAACAACTGAAGGGCGAATAGAACAGTATGTTAACAGTTTGGAATAGGATCATCTCTGATGTAGGTACAATGAAAACAGTTTAAATGAGCAATGAGTCAGTCTTAGGTCAGTTTGAACGACCAATATGTTATTAGTATTATTTTGCAACAGTTTTGCTAAGTAAGGTTTCCGTTTTGATCTCTTAAAAACACGAATTTTTTTCGGAGATCTGTGTCGTAAGTGAAAGACTTCATGAATCTAAACTTCATAAGACGGCGAATGCTGTAAGATGACTGAACAGCTGCTATTCGATTAGAGTAGACTCCTAGCTTACCTCAGTTAGTCACTCATAGATTCCGATCGTTTCAAGCCTCGCCGATACCAAAAGTTTGATGAGTACTTGGCAGTTCAGCCTATTTTTCAATAAACTTCAATTGGTCTGGAAAAACGAGCACTGAGCTAACAGAAACTTGAGGCGGCGGTACACATTGATCTTAGCATGGTAACTTGTCTTATAACAAAATAGCACTTGTGCATATCAGTAAAGTCATACAAGGTATATAAGAATGGAAGTCTCAGAACTTTTTGATTGATATTGTATGATATCAGTTCTATTTATTTCAATTTAGATACTATTACCATTATTATTTGAATTAGTTTCGTTTGCATCAGATAAATCAGTCAATCAGTCCATGAACAAAATTGAACTTTTTACATGAAAAGCAAATAAACAAAGCAGTGTGAAATGAAAAAGTGAAAAATTCTCAGGTTCTGTATATATTTTGGCCATTCGGCACAACAACATGTAAAATTGCTGGTTCACTTCAAGGATTCGGTATATTCTTGTCAACATTTTCAATAGCTGCAATCGCATTGGATCGGTGCGTTCATTTCGTTCACTTCATGGAATATAATCGAAAATTTTAATTGATATTTGTTCCTTTTAAGGGGCGAAGAAAGAAGTTACTTGCAGATTTTGCATAACATCTCATCAAAAAATTTCATTCACTCAACAATAAACATTTATCTCCGTGTTCATTCATTTGTTCACTTCTTCACATTGTTCATTTCAGGTATGTTCTAATAATATTTCCAACAAAACGTAAACGTCAACATAATCTTTCTCTACTGTTCTTCTCGCTAATATGGCTCATTTCAATCGCATTAGCACTACCGTTATTAATTGCATCTGATTTGAACACGATATTCGAAGATGAAAATTGTGGTATATCGTTGAAGATTTGTCATGAAAAGAATGAAATTTGGCAGCAGGTCAGTGAATGACTCATTGCATAATTATTTATGATTACATAAATAATTCTGAATACTCAATGAGAATATGCAAAATTTTGAAAATTTTTCAAAAATTAGATTGATTTGAATATTTTGGTACTTATATGTCTATTATAAAATAGATTTTACTATTACTGTTGTCAGTTGTTCGATTGTAATGTTGTTTGATGTGAAGTGGTGGTTAAAAACAGATGTGTGTGCTCCATGCGATCTGAAATTGGATAGATAATAGTGTTTGAAAGAGGATCGATAGGATTGTGGCAGTAGGCAGTAGTTGCATCAAAACAGATTATTCATTTACTCACAAGCAAAACTCGAGCATGTATCGAGTCGATTACCCGAATCCGACAGACTGCACGCACATTCTTATTTCACATGCTGTAGAGCATCTTAAGTGCAATTGATGGAGGAATGCTTTATATGAGTGATGAAGTACGTCAACGCCATAAATATGATCAACATCAACTTTATTCAGATCACCTTTTCTTAACGTGACTACAATGTAGATTTTGACAGAACAGAACAGACTTCTGGAAGTTATGACGCGGTGTCTTCTTATTTGTCTTGAAAGCTGATCCTAAGTTACTGTTACTGTACTTGAAAGGAGAGGGAGGCAACTTACTAGCGATCTCGAAAGGGCGATTCGCCGAAAAGGTTGAAAATCGATGATTCAGGTCATCATAAATTATGAATTAATCAAGATGAATGTTTTAGATGCCGATCGGCAAAGAAGCGTATACATTGGCTGTCCTTGTCACACAATACGCTCTACCGTTGGTTTCGATCGTGTTTGTGTATTCTCGAATTGCACATCGGATGCATGGTCGTTTCATGAATCGTATGAATTCGGCCGCGAATGCACCGACCGCAGTGATGAGTCAACGACGACGGTCAGTGTGTCTTTTTCGTCCCTTTGAGACACCAATCAACCTCCATGCGGACACCTTACGAACACTTATCTTTGGAATGCAAAAGGCGTAAAAATTACCCTCAACTCTGTATTACCAGACTTCTGTCTTCAACTTATAGGTATGATACTACTTGCCATCTATCTACTACTTGACCTTTAATTGTAAATGTACGGCAGGTGTTTAGTAGATAGATAGCAGGTACGATCCAGTAGGAAACTTGCCACCTATAATGTACATCCCATTCCGTCACAAATGAAATTAACCTGGAATTGCGAATCAGATCGGTGTTCGAACGGCAACGACGTACGCATTTGTTGTTGGTTTGTGTGGTTATTGTTTTTGCGGTCGCTTGGCTACCTTTGAACGTATTCCATGTGCTGAACACATTCGGTATTGTGAAAGGCTTTTCTGTACCGATATTTGCGCTATGTCACGTCATTGCAATGTGTTCGGCGTGCTTGAATCCCCTTTCATACGCATTCTTCAATTATAATTTCCGACAGCAATTCGTCATCATGTTCCAACAAATTGGTCTTAGGTATGTTTGCAAGTAAAGTGTTTGTTTTTTAGCGTTGCAATTATGATTATAGTAATAGTGACAGTAATAACTTGATACCTGAATTGCTCATTATCTGTCGTATCTTCCGATAAATTTTGTCTTTCTGAAATGGCAACAATCTTTGGCTTTTTTCTCTTCTCATCACGAAGCCTTAATAATGATGTTGTTGCTATGATCACAATGAATGTTTTTAGTCATTTACGAAGTTTTTTCATCTCGTTCCGCAAGAACTGTTCCTTACGAGAACCAACCAAGTGCACAGTCTCAAGATCTGCACAAAGCGATTACAAACGATCACAACGATTGCAGTTGATTTCTGTGCCAAATGCGGAGCAATATAATCAATTCAACAACAACAACAATAATAATAATAATAACGGTGCTGATAATAACAAGTGTAATAATGACAATATAAATAATGATATCAATACTAATGATAATAGTAATGAGGATGATAATAACAATAATGGTGACAATAATGTTAATAGTTATGAAAATAAGAGTGAAAAAAATACAAATGATGTTACCAATAACAATAACAATAATAATAATACTGTTGCTGTTAGGGAAAAAAATGAATTCGTTTTAAGGATTAATATGATAAATACTGTTTGACGATTGAATGATATGAATGAAATGATTATCGAATAATGATAAGAATACTAATAATAACGAATAGTGGCTTATTATCATGTCAACTTATACGAATGTATATGTGAAAATGAAAGTAAACTCATTGTTCTCAACAACTAATATATCATTTGTTTGAAGTTGTTTGTTTCAATTCACATATCCTTCATTTTCTGCAACTGATCTTAAGCTGTTGTGATGGATATTTCTGGATCCAAATGATTCGGCTCAAAGTTGCCATCAGTGTTCTATGTACAGAACTCGGTTCAACCATTCACTCATTAATGTAAAAAGTGTAAATTTCAAAATACTTCTACCATTTCCTCATGAACGAATGCTTATAAGTATTTTTTGTTTGTATCATGTTTTTCGTACTTCAATTGAATTGCCTATAAACAGCATCGAATTGGCATGGAAGTTGTATAAGTAATACCTTACAATTAAACTGTGTTTAATGTTTGGCGTCTCATGACAAGTGGCATTAATGAATTAATATAGTCTTCTTTTTGCCCATTCGGTTTTTCTCGTCAGGGATCGTCGATACAGTAAAATCCAATACGCACATTAATATAATGATGATGTCAGTAACTTCTGGAGAGAAATAGCACGAGAAGCACACCGACTCATTGAACTTTTACAAGCAAGTTAAAAACAGTGGCAATGGTAGAATGTGGTACTGTCTTTATATACCTCATTATCCATCTATGTCGAACGCAAACTCGAAATTATCAACGTTTAATGGTACATTAAAAACGTTCATGACTGCCGAGTGACTGATGTTTCACAGTGCAGTTACAGATTCTCTTCAAAAGAAGCGCGAAGTTGTTTTGTTTGAAGAAATTGCCGAGAAACTCAGTGGTGAATAATTCTTGAGGCGTTATTATTATTTTGCTATTATTATTATTATCGCTGTCATTATTTCATCATTACAGTTATGATTATGTTTATTATTAGTATTATTATTAGTATTATTATTAATATTAGTATTATTTTTAATATTAGTATTATTAGTATTAGTAGTATTATTAGTATTATTATTAGTATTATTAGTAGTATTAGTATTATTATTAGTATTATTATTATTATTAGTATTAGTATTGTTATTAGTGTTATTATTATTATTGTTATTTTTTTAATGTTTATTATTCTCAAAAGAGAGAAGTGAGAAGAGACTTAAACGGAAGTATCAAGGAATGCTTGATTTATTTTTGATCGAATTACATCGATTATTTTTGTCAGCAGACATAATTTTGAGTGGTTTGATAAGGGATAAAAATTATTTTGAGAATGATTAGTTGAGATGAGATTATGTGAAGAGATACGTTCCTTCTTCAACGAATTTATTGCATGTTTGTTGCATATTCTCAAAACATATTTTGTGGGATTTTGTCTGTTCTTTTTATGATTACGAATACTGACAGCCTTTTATTGCAGTTTATGATTGATTTTGTTTTGTAATGGCGATGTGATGCTTACAACAGGACATAAACATGTAACATAAATACATATGAAGTAAAGTGAATATGAAGAGTGATGTTGTAAATAACGTGTTGATGATTTATATGAAATGAATGAATGGATGAACGGAAATTTTGCGAGATGACCTTCATCTAGAGGAGCTGATTGGAGATTGGTAACGAGATTGACGATTTGATGTCGTTTTTTTATCTGATCAGAAACAAGATGAAAAAAGTGAGATTGTTTAGCTAACAATGATTATGAATGACAAAATTCTTAATTTGATGACAAACGATCATTGTTATAGTACTGATTCAAAGCATGATTATTCATTATGCAAGTGGATAGCACATTTTCGAAGAGTATCACGTTGTTTGTTTGTGTGGATGTATGTGCTAGTAAGAGTGTCTTTAAAAATACTATTTATAATGAGTTTCAATCAAGATTGTTTCTTACGATTAGTCTCTACTCACCCAACTTCTGTTTGATTCAGGAATAGCTTTCTTTGCTTTTTGCTGAATTCGACCCATGATAATTACTGAATTTTAGGTTGGATGCTCTGAAGAAGAATCCAAACTTTCGAATTTAGTGTCCACATATCAACGTAAATGTGGTCATTAACACTGCTATTACGTCAAGATGTGTCAGCACTTGTGAGTTCAGTGAAATTAAGTTTTCTTTATGATTTCACTGGAGAGATTTATTCGAAATAATGACATGGTTGTGGTGCAAATACACATGTATCAGTAATGAAAGAAGCGTTGTTGCTGATTCGGAGTTAATTGATGCTTCTTTCAGCACATTCATACTTCTTTGTATGGCCATCCGAGAATGATGCTAGGGTAACGTCGACCACTTCGACTGCTGCATCTGAGTTGATGCTCCAACCTCATCGACAAAGCAAAGCCTCACTTTCAGAATATGTCCAAGATACGAGTCTAGCAGAACAATTCGACACTGAACAAATCCCTCACATGCAATATGTTTCATCCTATTCATTCAACAGTGGCCCTCTTCAGGCGAAGCATTCAATCAAAACAAAACAAATAATACAGCAACGGAAACTATCAAAGGCGCATTTAGGTACGTTGTACTTCATTCCTATTATTACTATTAATGGCATTGTTATTATTAAAACTTTCCCAGTTCTGTTTCTTTTCACTGTTTATTAAGTTTTTGTTGCATATTGTCAAATTGTCGCAATCTTTTGCTGTTTTATTCATTTATTTTTGAACATTTATTCACGGTAAAGTCAAGAATCGCTTATTCATGAACTCGCTCTATTAACCACGTAACATATATTTTGACCATCAGCCACTCATAATTTTTATCAAAAAATCAGAACTGAATTCAAATTCCAATTTCCTTTTTTTCCATCTCTCCAATAAAGTGGAATTTATTCATCATGATGTAATGTCAATCAGTCAAGTAATAATAATGCAGCTCAATTTCTTTCTTTGAGATTTAGTGTCAATCAAAACATCAGAGGTTGGAATCATATGATTCGATTGGTATCATACCACTAGAAGTGAATATGTATACTTACAATTAGTCAGAATCAAATTTGAACAAATGAAAAATAATAAGTGAATTCCATGTATAGAATCTACATTATCATCCACAAATAACAATAGTAATGCAGTCATAAATATAATGTTTAAAGAATCTTTATAAATATGCGCGATGTATATGTCCAATCGGCACACGTAATATTCATTCAGTTGGCCTTCACCATGAATACTTGAGCTCATTTGAAGGTCAGTCATCGCTCATTAACACTTCATTCATATAGATGTATACATATGAGAATAGTGTTGTAACGTTTAAAGCAATAATTATTACGTGATATTCATTTATTTATTCGATTATTTATTGTAAAATCTTCCTGTTTTTTATTTCCTTCGACTGCTTCATCTAATAGAGGTTTATAGCCACTGTTGCAGTTGAAATTGATGTGGCAATTAATTTTTCAAATAGATAGCTTCATATGTTAGTATTATTTACATTATAATATTTCACTGAAAAGTAAGACCAAACGAGACCGAACTGAAAATACATAATTTTTACTCGGTACAAATGGAATGCGAGCAAAAAGTGGGACATTTTATAAATTCATTACAGTTATTCATTTTTACGGTGAGAGAGAGACAAAAAAAAGAAGGGACGATGATACTGCAGTTCGGTTAAGGATGGTTGTTTGAATCTATGTACTCAACAATTTTGCTATTTTTCATTTGCTCACCTCACAGTTTGTTTCTTTGCTGCGTTATTTTTCGTCGATGTTATTCTCTTGATTCTTTTTCGTTCAGTTTACGTTATTATCATAACAGGAAATTAATAATATTCTCATCGCAAATATTTGAAAAAGTCCGGCTAATGTACAACGCTTTGTGCGCATATTATTACGTTTAATTCACTAGAAATTTTAAACGCTAAAAATCATACGAAGAAAAATCAGTAAAGCATGCTGCAATGGTCTGTCAAATCAGTGTGTTCTTTAATCAATAAGCAGCATTTTTAGGGACAGACAGTAGACTACTGTGTTAACAGTTTTATTTATTGTTTATAAGAAATTGATGAGAAGCTGTCACTGAATTATAATTCGTAAAATATTGAGCTCACATTTTTCACTGATTGGAAACTTTCATTGATTGATAGCTTCAGAAAAGGTAGCCGTTGATAAGGAGAAGGCTAACGTGACCGTTACTACTACTGTTAGATAGAATGAACAGTATTAAATTTTTTCTTCTTTTTTACAAATTTGGATAAATTTTCAAATTGGATTCATTCCGAAAGTGATATAATGATAAATAATCAGTAAAATAATATGATGATCATATGATGGTCGGGAGTTTTCTTTTTATTTCCATTTCATCACATTTCTCCACTTGCCTTCTCATGCGGTCA